TTTGAAGAGAGACTTCCTTTTTTCACTGCTGTTCAAGAAAAGATTTCAGTTAGGTAATTGTAGGTCTGTAAAGATGCTTCCATATGTCCTCTAAAACAATAGGACCATCATATTACTGTTTTGCATAGCTGTTCTTTGTCTACTTTCTTTCTTAACTATTGTATAAATTAAGTCTCCAACTAGATCTCTCCCTTGTTCTTTCAAGTTCTGTCCATATCAATTTGCCGAGTCTGACAGTGTGAATGAGGCCTTATGTTAGAGCTTTATCATTTGGTTATCACTTGGAGGGGAAAGGTTGGTTTCCCAATGAGAGTAATGCTTTGTATGATTGTGTCAAACTTCTAAAAGCTAATAGATCTTTTCTTTTTAAGTTATGACATCATGTCTCCATAATGGCATAAGTAGGTCAGTCACCTGAAGGGCAAAGAAAAAGATGGTAACCCCTCTAGAGTGATGGCATGAGGCCAGAGTGTTAGTTTTATATTTTTAGGAATCATATTGTCAGGTAAATGAAATGGTGACTTCCAATATAAATGACAAAAGAGAGGGAAAAGTCCTGGGGATGAAGAAATAGAAGCTAAATAGATAATAGAAGCAAAGGAGAGGAATCACTTCAGTTCAATTACTTTGAGATAAAACAAGCCAGTATCAGTCTCAGTCAAAATGTGACTATTGCTACTCCTAACTGCAATAAATCAATTTGAAATGTAGAAAAATGGAAAGCCCATTAAAAGTTTTTGTTTTCAACCACAAGGAGGCACATAAGTTATAAATGGATTGATAAAACTGTTCAGCATAGTTACAAAATTATAATTAAAATTCACATGATTGACACTCTGAAACATTTTCTGAAAACAAACATGATCCTTCACAGACCTGATAGCATCAGATGGTGTTACTCAGACCCATGGAGAAAGACCACAGGTTAATTAAAAGACCACAGGTTAATTACGGGTTTTCCAGGAAATGTAGTCATCACACATGATCTAATACTCAAAATCTAAATTTAGAGTATCTCAAAGAATGTGCAAACTATTATCCTAATGATAACTTTGTTAGCTATATTAAAAGAAAACATTTAAACATTTAAAAAGAAACACTTCTCCTAACCAAAAAAGCCTATTTCTGAAGTGAGAAAGTACTTTCAATTTATTACATGGGTCACCCATAATGAAACATTTTCTGCATCCTGTCAGTTAGTTAGCCAAAGCAAGATAAAAATATGTTTTGAAATTGTCTAAAATTATTTTATTCTGATTGGTCAGAATAAAATAAAAATATGTTTTGAAATTGTCTAAAATTATTTTATTCTGATTGGTTTGAATAAAATAAAATGAAATAAAATATCTTTGATTGGGATTATCAGGGTAACAGATTATCATTAGAAATAAAATTGACCATTTATAATGGACCTCAGTATTGTACCAAGCTGAAGCATTTTCCCTTTAAACTTCCAATGTTAGGTCTAATTGTTGCTGGAATTAATAAGATGAAACATAAATGGAAATAATTCTTAAAGAGAAACAGTACCTGAGAAATATGCAAATATTTATTCTTGTGCAAAACTAACCAGTTGAAGTACTTATTGAATATATACTGTGCGCAGGTGTCCTAGGCATTAAGAGTGCAGTGATGAACAAGAAAGATAAATTATCTCTCTCATGGCATTTACTTCCTAGTGGGGGAGACAGACAATAAGCAAACAAAAATAAATAAGGAAGTAGGAATGCATGCTGTGAAGAATATAAAATCGGGTGATAGAATAAGAGAGTAACACTTTCAACTGGATGGTCAGAGACAACCTCAAGAAGGAATATACAAGGAGGTACACAGAAGCACAGTTCATTTCATTAAATAAGTTGAAAATCACCTCAACGCCATCAATATTAGGAATACTAGATCAATTATTATATATCTATATAATGTAGTACATACAAGAAAGTGTAACATATGTAGTACAGTTTTAAAGTTTCCACAACATATTGTGGAATTAAAAATTGAGGATGCCAGTGTTACATACTGTATGATATTATTTATGTAACAATAGTATTAATTTCTATGGCTGCATACATATGTCAATGCATAAGTGGATACCTGAAATTATACATAACAAAATGTAAATCTCCCTTGGGGAGATGAGTGGATGTAGACACCCAAGTTGGTAATGATTAATGGGGACTTTTGCCTTAGCAGTTATGTTTTAAAGTTTTATAAGTAAAAGATACTCAGATATTAATTTTATAATAAAAATAATTAAAAAATTAAAAGTAAGGCAATTTGATGTTGCCAGAGGGGAGGGGAACATGGGGTGGACAAAATGAGTGAAGGAGGTCAAAAGGTAGAAACTTCCCGTTATACAATAAACAGGCCATGGGGATATAATTGAGAACATGGTGATTATAGTTAATACTGTGTTGCATATTTGACTGTTGCTAAGAAAGTAAATCATTAAAATTCTCATCACAAGAAAAAAAGTTGTAACTGTGTGTGGTGATGGATGTTAACTAGACTTATTGTGGTGATCATTTTGCAATATACAAATCACTGAGACAAATATAATGTTATATATCAATTATACCTCAATGAAAAAGGTAAGACAATCTGATAACATAAACCAAAATTATTAGACAACTTCTAATTTCAACTTTATTATTGCAATCTTGAAAACATCATTTAAGTCAACTCTTTTCTGTACAAAAATTAGTAGCCATATCTATTCACTACTAACTATACTTAGAGCACTTATACTCAAAGTTGAAATCACTGCACTGGTAAAGCTATTATGTCTATATAAGAACATGATCAAAATAAAACAAACGTGAAGAAAATAAAGTTGTCTTAACCTTCATTGTTTAAAACTCACCCAGAAAAATAACTTAATGATAAAACACTCTGGTAAAAAGTGTGATGGGACAGAAGTTCTGTCAGTTTTGATTACTTTTCAGGTACATCAAGGAAACATGAACTACACTGATCTCTTCAAATAATCTCCTTTGAAAGGCAGCTAACCACACCTCTGACTGAATAGTTTTTTTCAAGGACAACTTAAAAGTTGACTTTTGTAAAGCTAAGACATGGGGGTGTTTGTTTGTTTTGTCATGGATAAGAATGATGTTTTAGCAGATGTTGGAGAGTGTGATTGATTCCCGAGATTAGTGCTAACCTTTAATTTCTAAATTAAAATTAAAACCTTAGACATTCTGTGAAAGGAAACCAAGAGAGTCACACAATAGGGGAATGCTGTTTCTTCTCATAGTATTCCTTTAACAGTTCCAAAGGTCTTTAGGAATAACTAACACTTCCCCTGTTTGGATTAACACTGAAGCACATTCTACCACTAAAAAGATAATAAAACTACATCCAAGTTGGTTATTATTCATGAAGATATGCAAGTAGCTATAATCAGGAGTTTAAGATGGCATATTTTTTTAAGTAGAAAATATTCAATTAGATTTTTGTAGAATTTCATTCTTCCCTTGGCTATATAAAGGACTAAACAGTGCCTCAGAACATACTCCTAGAGTCTTCTCCGGCTATTGGTAGAGAGCAAAGCTTGCAAAAATTTTTCTACCATGGATTTCTTTTTTTTTTTTTTTTTTAAGATTTTATTTTATTTACTTGACAGAGAGAGAGAATGCGAAAGAGGGAACACAAGCAGGGGGAGTGGGAGAGGGAGAAGCAGGCTTCCCGCCGAGCAGGGAGCCCGACATGGGGCTCAATCCCAGGACCCTGGGATCATGACCTGAGCTGAAGGCAGACGCTTAATGACTGAGCCACCCAGGCACCCCACTATCATGGATTTCTGTATTGTGTTTCAAAAAGAAAAAATAATGACATCAGTGAGGAAATCCAGGGCATGTTATCACCAGGGCAACGTGGATCCTCCTCATGGCACTAAAATTCTTTGGAGAAGAGGATCCCTAGAATATCAGAATCTACAGCAAATAATATGCCCAATATTATTGATTCATCAGCCACCTAAATACTATAATGTAAACTCTATCAGTACCCTAGAAATAACCACATCCATTGGGTTTCTTCTTTACCTGGAATTCTAATTATGTCTTTCTTCTAGACTCTCCAGTACAGTTACTGGTGAGATGGAAATAACATAATAAAACCTCAGCTGTAGATCAGATTTAGGGTGAAGAACTTAGAATACCTAGAACTCAACAACGTGGTTCCCTATCTGACAGCACCCACATGGCGGTATTAGCCTTTGGGACTGATTGATGTTTATCTCCCCTCCATGCAAAACAAAACAAAAAAAAGGTTGTATAATCTGGAAATAAATGTACATAAGTATTTAAAATATAAGTGTCTAATTAACACTTAATCAGGATTTTTCTGCTCTGTGAGAACTTCCTTAAATCTCATAGAATTACTGATGAGACTAAGATGATTTTGATGAGATATATTGCAATTACTTGTACAAAGGAATGCCTTGAAGAATTATTAATCCTTATTTATTGCAATTGTTTTCTTTTGTCTTCATGAATTTATAAAATATATGAATAAGAAAATTAAATGTCACTCAATGTTTTTATAACAAAGCAGTTTGGAAGGGCCAGATAAATATCACATTACTCTGATAATAGATTCAAGGTCATGCAAGTAATGTATTGGCTAAATGACCATAGAGATTTCTATTTTATCCTGCAATGCTAAGCTGAATGACTAGGACAAAATGTTGCAATAGCATTTGAGCTTCTGTGATTTTAAAATACCAGAGCATTTAAAAAATCCTCATGAAATTTGCATTGCAATGTGCCTTACATATTAGGTAGTGCAATCCTATCTTGGGACGTAATCTGATGGCATCATCACACACAAACACATTCATCATCCCGTCCTACAGATTCAAAAGGGAGAATGTTTTCTGAGTGTAACTCACATCCCACTAACTTATCATATTCCTGTTGACTAGCAGGAAGCTGAAATAACTTAATGTGCTTTGAATATTTAACCCAAAGTAATATAAGAAAACATCTGTCACTTACGTTTTTGAGTCATCCCATAACACACAATAGGGATTCAAAGTACCCTAAAAATAAGCAGAGAAAGAAGAAATGTCTCTTGAATACATACAACAAAAATGGAAGGTTTCTGTGAAATGCAAACAGAATGGCAGATTTCTTATCTTGCATTATGATACTTTCAAGATCCCATCTCTATTTTTTTTTGCATAAAAAATTTGTATGTCCTTTCTCAGACTTGTTGATGCATTTTATGAAATTCTCGTCATGAAAACAATACATTTATTACAAACGTCATAACCTATATTTAGTTTTTCTTTGAAAATTGAAAGTGAAGCTCTCATTTAGCACAAGGTCCATATTTTGATAATTTAGAAATTACCTAATTTCTAATAGATTTCATTTTTTTACCTGTAAAATATTAATTGCTGGATTATTTCTTTTCAGAAGACCAAAATATCTACAAAATGGAAATCACAGGGAAACATTCTGTATTATGCACAGGAACAAACACCACCACCACCCTCATTAGCCTCTAGTTGTCACCTTCCTCGGGGCAAGAGATGGTTGCATTAACTGTCCATTTCCAGAGAGTGTGTTGGATTGCAATAGCTTCTTCTTCTTCTTTTTTTTTCTAAAAAGGTGTTCATTATTAATGGCTGTATTTTTTTAAAAGGAACATTTTATTCAAAAATGATGATGAATGCAATAAAAATCGATGCACCTCACAGCATTCCCTTAAAGTATGAAGAATATAAGTTTCATTAAAAGGGATTTTAAGTATAAATTTGTACCTGATATGCAAATTCCTCTGCCCCACCACGCTGCCTACCCCCTAGCAAGTCATTCATGGCTGCCCTCTTGGGGTGTATTTCACAATTAGCATGAACTAAACCAGATCCACTATTTAATAACCCCTTTGTATGTCTCCTTAATTATAATAATTACACCTATTGAGTGAAGATGGAGATGGAACCATAACATGGGATATTCTTTTGAATTTGGAAAGAAATATCAAGTTTAATCATTTCCTTCCTATGAACCTAATCTAAAGTGTAAAAACGCTAAAGTCCCAGTAGAGCTATTGTTATCTTTTAAAGACCATCTCATTCTTTTGAAATCGATTGAAAGAAAATGCAGATGTGGCCACATCTAGACCAAGGCAAAGTGTTTTGTTTTGTTTTTTTTTTAAATAGTTCACAGACAATGTTACATTAGTTTCAGGTGTACAACATAGGGATTTGACAAGTTTATACGTCATGGCTTGCAATATCTTCTTAATCAACAGATTATTTTTGTATAGAATCATGTCTATTGAAACTATGTAAAAAAAAGTGCCAAATTTTTATTCAGTTCAATAATTTTATATGTATGAGTGGCCACCCTGACCCTCAGGATGATGCAGTGAGGTTTCCATTATCTTGGGAAGTGCTTTCTGTTTTAAAGAGTACTAATTGTCTGTTTTCTTTCTGTCAGTCTGTCACATTCTTTGGACCTTATTTTGCCCTTTGAAACTAGCCTAATAATTCTTCCTTTACATGATTATCTTTAGATATCTACACATGCTATTCTACCCCTGAAGAGTCCTCTTCTTTAGTAAACGTACTCTATTGGTTTCAGGTTCTCTCATTCTCCACATTACTCATTTCCTAGAGCACATACTTTTTTTTTTAAGATTTTATTTATTTATTTGACAGAGACAGAAATAGCGAGAGCAGGAACACAAGCAGCATGAGTGGGAGAGGGAGAGCAGGCTTCCCGCTGAGGAGGGAGCCCGATGTGGGACTCGATCCCAGGACCCTGGGATCATGACCTGAGCTGAAGGCAGACACTTAACGACTGAGCCACCCAGGCGCCCAAGAGCACATACTTTTGAGGTGTGTTTAGGGAAACCATCCATATGTGTCCTGCCTGGGCAGAACAAAGTGGTGCTATTGCCCCTCCCCTGTAGGTGCCATATTCCTAATAATGCAAGCTAAGACTGTATCAGATATTTTGGGAGTCTCTTCCTCAGCTTGATTACTTATACACTGAAGTCTAGGAGAGACTTTTTGAATCCTGATTTTGACATCCCATACATTCACCAATGATTCAAAACTTTTTAATCTTTACAGGATTAAGAAACAAGCTTGGTATCTATGTCCTCATCCAACCAAGTCATTAATAAAAATGATGACTAGGTCAAGGCAGATAAAAGTTACAATCCTGAAACAGGCTACTGGCTCTGTTCCGTAGGTGGACATGCTCCCTCCATGACTGCCACCCCCCACCCCTCAGTCTTGTCTTAGTATATGATCACTGAGGTATATCTGGCAAAACAACCTCTTTAAAAGTCTAGGCAGGCTCTGTGTAAAATGTTGTCTTTCTAAGTGCTGTTTGTTGGATCTGTTCTAGCATTTCACTAGAAATAAACATTAAAAATAGTGATTCCAAAATTTGTGAAATCCACCCCAATTTTATTTTTCATTTTAATTAGGACATTTGACTAATCCCAATATTTTAACACCATTACCAAAAATCCCTCAAAGACTGCATACCCAAGGTATCTTTCTTCTTGTCAAATGCTCATACCTATAAACTATGCTCTTAGAGCATAAAGAGGCTCCTTCCCTGAAAAAGGTTATAGTCTTAAAGAGGTTGATGAGGAACACACATATGCAATATTTATATAACAACAAAGAGCCTTGTTTTTATAAGTGTCACTAGTCATACCGTGTAAGGGAGAAATGAGGGGCATCATGGCTTGTGTTAGACCAAGTTTCATCAAGTAAGTGAGTGTTAATGAGGTTCTACATGAGGTCTAGATCTGGGGAGGGTCATAGAAGGAGATGGTGCTTCAAACTGTTTTCTTTCCTTTTTTTCCCCCAGATAGTTTTCTTCCTCTGTCCCATGAGAACCTATCTGGTTTTAGCTGAAATTTTCATTCAATCTGTGACTTTCTAAGAAATCCTTAGCATAACTACAATGTTGCATCATAAAGCTATACTACATTTTATCAGGGGATTTGTTCAAAAGACCTCAGAACACTTTGTAGAGAATACATTATCCTTGAAATATCACAATGAGGGGTATGGGAGTATATATTTCATGAATATAGAAACTAATTATGGGTGAAGAACCTGAGATAGTAGTTCTTCTGAATCTAGTTCACTTCTTTTAGTAATGTATGAGTTAGATAAAGTTAAATCTCTATATAAACCAATATAGGATACTGATTATAGGATTAATATTTCATATTTAGAATTCATAACAGGTTACAACAGAAAATAATATTATAAGAGAAATATAATATGACCTTAATTGTTTGGATATCTTTCCTTTTTAATGTCCTGAAGAAAGTGATTTCCACTTTCAGATAAAAGTATAAAGGTGAGAAATGCTTATTCTACCCTTAATCCATGCCATTGTTAACCTTAGTTTTATCTTCTACCTTCTTCACTCCTCATCTCTTGGATCTTATCTCATACTTCTCTCTCTTCTTGTCCTTGTGAAAATTTAAAAAGCGTCCATGTGAGAATTATTATAGGTTCCAAAATGCACCACTCAATCTTGTGTTTCACTATGCATTCTGGAACCTACACGACAGACAGATACCCCTCTGTGAGCGTTCATTCTAGTGCAGTTACCAACATGTAAGTCTGTGAGCTGAGGTCAATTATTTAAATATTTGAAGTTTAGAAAAATAAGCAGAACAAACAAATTTGAGGAATCTTAGTATCTGGATAGACCAATTGCTTAAGGAAAAAGAACGTGCAATGGGAAACATAAAGCAAACATCAATGATGAATGAATCCTAAACATGGAAAAAAAAAAAAACTGGCTAAAAGGTTCTGCTGGGAAACCACTTGTAAAATATTTGTTATAAGTTTTAGATACTTTTCTCAAAGGTGCTCTGCTACAAGATCTGTTATGAGGAATTTACAGGAAATCGATAACAAGAAATGGTGAGCCCAACAGACAGTAACAAAACATAATCACAGGAACAAGAGGAAAATAGGCGAGCTGTGCACTAGCCTATAGAAGTAGATTTAAGAAATGCATTAAACTAAGAAAGCAAACAATTCTCAACCAAATGAGACAAGTGTGCTTAACAAAATTCATTTACAAAGCTGTCAATCTCATCGACACTTAAAATATTAAAATTGCATATACTGAAAACTTTTCTAAAGTATACTCTTTTCTTGAAAAACACATTTTTGGTAAAACAAGCAAACAAAGAAACAACAACAAAAAACTGTCTCTCTTGACCCCATTCAAAACAGAATAGTTGAACTCAAGTTAAATATTTCTACTCACCTGATTTTAAGGCATTTAAAACATGTAGCATGACCCAAATTTCCTCATTACCATTGTTTAACACACCACTTCCAAGTTTCTTTAATAGTCTTCACTGTTTTTTACTTTACTTCATTTACTTCTCTCCTGTTTCCACATCAACAAACCAATATGCCTATTTAACAGTATATCACCGGCTTTGTCAATGTATTTCTATGGGTGGTTCTCTCTTTTCCTTTGGTCTGCGTAACTTTTTGTTTTTTTTAATAGAATAGGGGATTTGGACATACTTTCTAGTTCTAGCCCACAGTGATTCTTGAATGACATTCATAAGTGAATTCCTTTTCTTCTTTCAAAACTGTCTTCCAAGTAGTTTTTTTTCCCGCTATAGAATATCCTAAATACATCTCCCTATGGTAAATTACTCTTACTATGGTAAATTTCATTTAGTCATTCATACAAAAATCACTTAGTAAACACCTATTACCTTCCAGGTACCCTTTGAAGCACTGAGGATACAGCAGTGAACAAAACAAAATTCTTGCTTCATAAACTTAACTATAGTGAAGGAGGCAGAGAGAGAGACAAATAACATAAACACATAAATATATAATATGCTGGATGGTAATCTGTGCTATGTGTAAATCACAATGACAGGAAAGACTGGGAAGTGAGTGAGTTGCAATTTTATATGCTTGGAGGCCTTCACCAATAAGATGATATTTGAGCAGAGATCTGAAGGAAGTTGATCACAGAAAAGATAACAGTAAAGTCACAGTAAAAATGAATGAAG